AAAATTTTGATAATTAAAACATCAGTGAAATCAATGGTAAGACATCAAGCATTTTTGCGGTCGACATTTTTCAGAGTTCATGTATAACATAAGCTTACCTTCTTTTTCGGTTACTACCACTGCGGCGTTCGCGGCGTTCTCGCTCCTCACGGTCGCGATCGCGGCGCGGTGGAGATCTTCTGGAAATCCCAAGTTTAAATTAAGAAAGCATATTCAGAGTTAATCACCTTCTTTCTGGAAATCTTGGCCCAGCATCAAGTCCTTTTTCTCTACGCTCTTTTCGACGTTGTTCAATAGTTTCCTGTAAGAAAAAAGAGAATGAATAAGGAGAACCTCTTAATATTTCTGATAAAATCAGTAAAAATCAATATTCGTATATATTATAGAGACTCATGGAAAGCAGAACCGCGGTGTGCAAGCGAGATGAGATGCGGTTTTATCCAGGACGTCATCGTGTGACCTTTGCGTACCGTCACCCGTAGAACATCCAGCGTACGGTCTAGAGTGCTCACTCACTCGCTAAATTCAACACCAGCCCCGATCCATGGGCGATCAGACTCAGACTAAGACACTCACTCAGAAAAGTATGTGATTATCATCGTTTTGCCATTTTCATCATCATCTTCATCATAGTTCTACCTAGTGGATCGCTATTACGGATGGTTCAAACGGAAACCCACGACAATTCTGTCAAATGCAACGGCAACAATGCGAACTTAGGCGCGACGTAATACCGACCTTAAAAAAGGCCACAATCAGCGATCCATCCAAGATGTGATCTATATCCACAATATCTCTATCAGACAAAGGATGGATGACAATAAACACCAAACATAAAGACCGAGTTAGTCAAGGGCATTGATGTCGCAAAAGGTGCGGTTAGAGAGAATGCTTGCTTACAGCAAACAAGCAAGGCACTCAGTTCAAGCAAATTCAATATTCTCAGAAGACAAGATATCTGTTTATTTTCTATGCAGAAGAAAATGTAAGACACTATTCAGTAGTGCATAGACCAGTAGTTGCACAACAAACTTATGATTTTGAAATAAGCAGAATCTTTTATTATTAGACTAAGACATTTCTGATTTTATTGAGTTAAAAGTCGCCAAAACTACGTAGAGCTACACTAGAATAACGACAGCTATGACTTCCCCAAACCTATTAGAATTTTGCAATGTGTAATATCTAAAGTTTAAAGTCCTCAAATTGTCATAGAAACTAGACTAGCCGTCCACATTACCAAGCCTTGCTTGTTGGCAGTAAACATATGCTGACAAACTGCAGCTATGATCATGCTTGAGCTACATTCAACCCACCTTCATTTCTGCATATTTCTCTCGGCATTCTACCATTCCCAAATGCATTTTTCCACCAAAATGATCAGCTATACGGGACTCGTGGTCCATAATATTCAACTGTGCACCACAGTCTTCACATACTCGAAGCCTAGCAGCATTCGACCCAGGTCCAGCAAGACGAAAATCGGTTTGGCTCTGAAGTATGCAAAATTAGTAAGTTAACCTTGAAGCACTTGACTACAGGCATACCTCAAGCTCAGCCTTGCGGGCTCTTAAGTCTTCGACCGTCTTTGACAGTTTCATTGATTCTTCTACTTTGCCCATATTGCCAAGTTCTTCCATTTCTGCGACAGCTTTGCCGATTTGTTCACTGAGGTCATTTATGCGCTGAGTCTGGAACAGACTGTAAGTAGAAA